GATCAAATAACATGCCCGCAGGCGCCATGACAGCCCCAAGGCTAACTGGAAAAGGCCAAAGAATGGGCGGTGGCCCAACCCCTGGGAATCCCAGCCTCTTCCCCCAGGGCAATTGGACTGATGCCACCTGTAGGCCTGTGAAGCTACTGAGACCATAAAAAGTGACACCACCACGCCTAGTGGTCCTTTGCGCTCTCTCTGCCCTTTGGAGACGGCCTGCGCTCTGTCTATGGAGTGTGTGCCTACTTTTACTTTAACCTGAGCACCCAATTCCCACACCTCTTTCCTTGCCTTTCTTTTGTCTTACATTGTATGCAGTATGTATCTCTTTCAATGAGTCTACTTTTACTCAAAAAAATTCTTTTATTCTGGAAAAATATATATAACATATCATATGCATAACATACACATATGCATAACACAAGCCTCCCTTATCATTAGCAGTGTGTATACCTCTAAGTACCTTCACTGCCATTTCTGTCAGGTCTCAGGAGGTGTAGTTGATGAGCGCCTTTTAAAAATAGTGCCTAAACATAATACATATTTGCTATCTTTCCTTATCTCCCAAAGCAAGATAGTCACAAGCAGAACCAAAAGAAATTCTCTCTATATAAAGATGTGGTTTCTCTTTGTTTTTTTACAAGACTGCTGAGAACTGGCAAGACTTCAAGGATGGACACTCATAGATTCGAGTATGAATGTAAATTGGTATCATTGGTTTGCATAACAGTGGGGCTCTAAGTATGAAATCGTTTTAGGTGTTGATACTCTCTGACCCAATCATTCTAATTCTAGAAATAGCTTAGGAAACAATTTCAAATACAAGCAAGGTTTTATATAAGAAAGATGTTCTCTGCGCTATTATTTACATAAGGAATGAGAGACAACTTAAAGTCCAAGAGTTAGCGGAGGAGAGCAGAGAGGACTGGGCACCACCGTGGGCACGGGCAGCCCAAGGTAGGGCTGCGGGCACTTGGCCAGGGCCTGGGGAAATGAAGCTCATGCACAAGAAAGGAGGGCGTGGGCTTTGGGAAGCTGTAGCACCAAGAAATTTGTCAGGGCAGAGACTCGAGCACAGGGTGCAAGACATCATTTTGATATAGTAACAGCCATTTACCAATTAATATATATCCATGATTAAATATTTTTGTATAGAAAAGGCAACAGAGCACTGTCATGACAAATGTGGCACCTGGATCTGAAAGATTTGGGTTCAAGCCCAGGAGGCTGTAGCACCAGAGTGAGAACCTGGGCTAAGCTAAGTGCACGGGAGTTTCTGGAGCCCTGGCACCACACACCCTGCAGCAATGAGAGCGGCCTTCAACTAGTGAACACAGCTGCCCCCACCCTCACATAATTTGCAAACTGTTACCTTCCTATCTTTTCTTCTGTGTTTGGTTTTATTGCTTCTAGAAGTTTCCAGGTGGCCATGTGTTGTCTGAATATGTTCTCCTTGTGCCCCAACAGGACAACAGGATTCTGACTTGGTTTGGAGGGAACTGCAGTGATGGGAGGAAATTTCCCTGAATAGCCACTGGCAGAGCCCAGTAGACAGAGAACGTCAGTGGGTCGAGTCCACTGTGGCGCTGGTGGCCATCCCGGGAGAACCAGCTAGAGACCTGTCCCCTCACTGCTCCCTGTTGCCAGAGCTCACTCAAGTTCCAGTCCACAATGTGTTTTCCCTTCCCCAAGGGTGAAGCCGCACCTCCTTCGAGGCTGACACAAACTGGTGAGCTCAAGGGAGGACACTGATATCCCACTGCTGGCATCATGATGTCAGTTGGCCTCCTTAACTGCCCAGGTACTCAGCTGCCCCTTCTCTGCCTGCTTCCTCCTTGTGCCCTAGAATGAGGGCAATGTCGCCAGGCTGAATTATCCTACACAGGAATCAAGACCCAAGAAGCGGTTGAAAAACATCTGTGAGCCCCTAAGAGGGGTGATGGGAGAACAA